CTTTTCAAAGAGCAAAACTCCCTTTTCAAATAGCAAAACTCCCTTTTCAAATGGCAAAATTCCCTTTTCAAATAGCAGAACTCCCTTTTCAAATAGCAGAACTCCCTTTTCAAATAGCAGAACTTCCTTTTCAAATAGCAGAGCTCCCTTTTCAAAGAGCAAAACTCCCTTTTCAAATAGCAAAACTCCCTTTTCAAATGGCAAAATTCCCTTTTCAAATAGCAGAACTCCCTTTTCAAATAGCAGAACTCCCTTTTCAAATAGCAGAACTTCCTTTTCAAATAGCAGAGCTCCCTTTTCAAAGAGCAAAACTCCCTTTTCAAATAGCAAAACTCCCTTTTCAAATGGCAAAATTCCCTTTTCAAATAGCAGAACTCCCTTTTCAAATAGCAGAACTCCCTTTTCAAATAGCAGAACTTCCTTTTCAAATAGCAGAGCTCCCTTTTCAAAGAGCAAAACTCCCTTTTCAAATAGCAAAACTCCCTTTTCAAATGGCAAAATTCCCTTTTCAAATAGCAGAACTCCCTTTTCAAATAGCAGAACTCCCTTTTCAAATAGCAGAACTTCCTTTTCAAATAGCAGAGCTCCCTTTTCAAAGAGCAAAACTCCCTTTTCAAATAGCAAAACTCCCTTTTCAAATGGCAAAATTCCCTTTTCAAATAGCAGAACTCCCTTTTCAAATAGCAGAACTCCCTTTTCAAATAGCAGAACTTCCTTTTCAAATAGCAGAGCTCCCTTTTCAAATAGCAGAACTCCCTTTTCAAATGGCAGAACTCCCTTTTCAAATAGCAGAACTCCCTTTTCAAATAGCAGAACTCCCTTTTCAAATAGCAGAACTCCCTTTTCAAATAGCAGAACTCCGTTTTGTTGCGAACACATCTCGTTGACAAGTTGTGAGATTTTTACATGTGTGCAGTACACTTCATCTCCAAAGATAACAATGCGAGGTTTATAAATTTTAATGATTGAACTGTGTTTTAGGTGTGAAGGGCACGGCAACATCATCCAATAACACAATTGAGGTCGAACGTTGTCTTGGCATCGAAGCCGCCAGGTACGTCATGTTGCAAAGACAAGGTTTGCGACTGCAAATTTGCAATTTCTGGAAATTTTCTTGTCCTTTCTAGAGTGACCATTATTAACGAAATTGTGTACACGATGACGAATCATGGAATGAGTATTGATGCACGCCATGTCATGTTGCTGGCGGATTTAATGTCGTTTAAGGTATGTTTCTTGCCAATGAAAAATCTGAAATAATTGTGTAGAAACTATAGCGATGTTAATGCTTTGTTTGTCTAGGGCGAGATTCTTGGAATCACAAGATTTGGTCTGGCAAAAATGAAAGAAAGTGTTCTCATGTTGGCTTCGGTAAGTACTATGTTTCATTTACAGCTTATTTATATACAAACAATCCTCTTTGAAATAGCAATATGTAGCAGTATCCTTTTGAAAGCCTGGTAGTGGCTTTATCTAAACGAAGTGTTTCATCTTTTAGTTTGAGAAGACAGCTGACCATTTGTTTGATGCCTCGTTCCACGGACGAAAAGATTCCATCGATGGTATTTCGATCATATTTCATTATTACTATTAAATGTACGTTTCAATTATGTTGTTGTTAAATTGTTCATAAACTCTTTCTCTGTTTCCAGGAGTGAGTGAATGCATTATTATGGGAATTCCTATGGCAATTGGAACTGGAATGTTCTCCCTTTTAAATAAATATCCTTTTATATAACATAAATATCCTTTTAAATAACATTCAGCACAAAAACCTAACCGGCTTTTAAAAATGGAAACTAAACAATTGATGCTTCTGCTGCACACGCAAAAATCTTGTAGCAAATCTGCCAATAAGCCCATAAAAAAAATTTCGCAAAATATAATTGTTAAAAGTTGAAAATTTTCAACTTCAAAATTCTTTTCCGACGGAAAATTTGTGTCGACCAATCACATTTTACAAATTTTTATTTCCGCGGAAAATTTTGTGTTCGTACTGCTTATCCCAAGTTGTCAACATGTTTGGAACAAGCTGTTCACGACTGTAACAAGCTTGATGGCATTATCAGACATTTTGCAATTAAGGTTGTTCCAACAAGTCTGATACAGTCATGATATAACAATATTGTTATAACCTTGTGTCGTCAACTTTGTAACAACTTATCAAATTTTTCCTTAACTGTATTCTACGTCAAATATTGATTCTGCACCACCTCAACGACCTTTATTGTTTGATAATCCTGAATTCCATATCCCTGGAGTTGAACCTACGTGACACTGAACACGTGACACTAATCAAGTGACCCCAGAGGTATGTCTATACAGTCAGTACAGTAATCTCAGTGTGTTACCGGATTAATGTGTTTGGTACTCCAACTGACGTCTTACTAAACTAAACTAACTTTATTTATACTGGATAGCTCTATCAGTTCTAAACTGTTCTCCCTAGAGATCCAGTAAGGATCAACCCTTATTGATTCAGTGTTACTTACAGGAGGAAATCTAAACTAAACTAACTTTATTTATACTCGATAGCTCTATCAGTTCTAAACTGTTCTTCCTAGAGTTCCAGTAAGGATCAACCCTTATTGATTCAGTGTTACTTACAGGAGGAAATCTAAACTAAACTAACTTTATTTATACTGGATAGCTCTATCAGTTCTAAACTGTTCTTCCGAGAGTTCCAGTAAGGATCATCCCTTATTGATTCAGTGTTACTTACAGGAGGAAGCGTAAACTAAACTAACTTTATTTATATACTGGATAGCTCTATCAGTTATATAAACAATCTAAACTGTTCTCCTTAGAGGTCCAGTAAGAATCATCTCTTATTGATCCAATATTACTACAGGAGGAAGCTTATAAAGTAAACTAACTTTATTGGTACTGGATAGCTCTATCAGTTCTAAATTGTTCTTCCTAGGGGTATAACAATCCATTTTGCTTGTTGTTAGTTTCAAGCCCGCTGTAGTGATAACTCAATATGTGCATGTTATCTCAATTGCATATCACATCGACGTGTGCCGCGTGTCATCAAAGTATCGAAAAACAATCAAACTTTTATTAAAACGTTAACGATAAAATCCTTGTTATCCTATTGACATTGGCGCGTGCCACGGTGTTTGCACATCACACGTGTATAACAGGATATCTTCATCAAATCGCGCTGAGACACTTTGCTAATGAACACGAAATTGTACCTGATTGCTTCTCTACAGACATCCGCTTACAGATTGTATCTTGAGGTGCTTTGAATTTATTGCAACAGATAAACTAAACTAACTTTAGTTATACTGGATAGCTCTATCAGTTCAAAACTGTTCATCCTAGAGGTCCAGTAAGGATCATCTCTTATTGATCCAGTTTTACTACAGGAGGAAACCTGAACTAAACTAATTATAGTGGATAGCTCTATCAGTTTTAAACTGTTCTCCCTAAAGGTCCAGTAAGGGTCATCTGTTATTGATTCAGTGTTACTACAGGAGGAAACCTAAACTAAACTAACTTTATACTGGATAGCTCTATCAGTTCAAAACTATTCTTCCTAGAGGTCCAATGAGGATCATCTCTTATTGATCCCGTGTTACTACAGGAGGAAACCTAAACTAAACTAACTTTATACTGGATAGTTCTATCAGTTCTAAACTGTTCTCCCTAGAGGTCCAGTAAGGGTCATCTGTTATTGATCCAGTGTTGCTACAGAACGAAACCTAAACTAAACTAACTTTATTTGTGGTGAATAGCTCTATCAGGTCTAAGTTGTACTCGATCTAAAGTTTCAGTTAAGGTCAGTTAAGGCCACTGCAGATATACCGGGCCATATTCAAGTTATCTTTTGAAAAGTTGAAAACTAAGGTTGTTTTAATTAAACAAGAGTGTTTGCAAGGAAAATCTTATTACGCTTCCTACACAAACAAAAAAAGCAAATAAAAAACTCATTAGAACATTATCAAAGAAGGCTTCATTGTATAGATTCCGAGGCTGGCTTGCGAACACGTGGTTTATTGAATTTAGCTTTCGTTGGGAGGGATGAAACTACTCTGAAAATACAAAGCGAATTTCGACGTTTCGAGCGAAGGCCCTTCGAATTTCACTTTGTATGGTAGTTGTACCCCTACCAACGAAAGCTTATACAATTTTAAATCCTGTTTGCTATAGACTCCTTCTCTACGAAAGAAATCCTTCAATGATTGAAATTAAATCACAATAATGAGTATTTAGAAGAGATCTTTTTCTAAACTGAATTTTATGGCTTGGTAGAACTGATTAAGCTATCCAGTATAAATAAAGTTAGTTTAGGTTTCCTCCTGTAGTAACACTGGATCAATAAGAGATTATTCTTATTGAACCTCTAGGGAGAAGGTTTAAAACTGTTAGAGCTATATATCCAGAATAAATGAAGTTAGTTTAGGTTTCCTCCTATAGTAACACTGGATCAATAAGAGGTGACTCTCACTAGACCTCTAGGGAGAACAGTTTAGAACTGATAGAGCTATCCAGTATAAAAAAAGTTTAGTCTAGGTTTCCTCCTGTAGTAACACTGGATCAATATGGAATGATCCTTTCTGGATCTCTAGGAAGAACAGTTTAGAACTGATAGAGGTATCCAGTATAAATAAAGTTAGTTTAGTTTAGGTTTCCTCCTGTAGTAACACTGCATCAATAAAGGGTGATCTTTACTGGACCTCTACGGAGAACAGTTTGGGACTGATAGAGCCAGAATTAAAGTAAGTTTGTGAAAAAACGGCGGCTTCGTCGCGGTAAAATAACGATAAACAATCATAAAGACAACAGACGCTATAAATTAAAATTTTTTTTCAAAAGATAGCTTTAGGCTACGAGTTGGCGCGTGTCGTTTTTTTGTTTGTAGCGATTATTTGCGATAGTGCTAACAATGATTTAGATCCTACGATTATTCCGGCACACAAGGGTTGTAGTAATGACCCACTTAACGGCGTCACCATTTCTATTGAGGCGCAATTATTACAAAATATCGTAGCTGACAAAATACAGGCAACGTGGTTTTGTGAACATTAGTAATGAATAGGGGTGTTATGTGTTAATCCAGGACAGTAATTAAAAACGCATTAACTTTAAAAGTGCGAACATGTTATTATAGTTCATGATTGGTTAGCTTTCGAGAGAAGCTGCATGGTACTCCTTCATCAACCGAGATAACTAAGCTCGATCAGTTTTGAACTGTTCTTCCTACCTGTAGAGGTCCAGTAAGGATCATCTCTTATTGATCCAGTGTTACTACAGGAGGAAACCTAAACTAAACTAACTATATGTGTACCTATATCAGCATCAGATCACTGCAATATGAAGTTGACTGATCGTATTTTTGTCTCATTCTCATCACGCGCATGTGCGAACAGTGCTTTATTGAACCTGTATTCTTTAAAGAGAACAGAGCTATTCTGTCTATCCACTCCAGTACAAATAAAGTTCATTTAGTTTTAGGTTTCCTCCTGTGGTATTGCCACACTGGATCTCTAGGAAGAACAGTTTAGAACTGATAGAACTATCCTGTATAAATAAAGTTAGTTAAGTTGAGGTTTCCTCCTGTAGTAACACTGGATCAATGAGAGATGATCCTTACTGGACCTCTACGGAGAACAGTTTAGAACTGATGGAGCTATACAGTGTAAATAAAATTAGTTTAGTTTAGGTTTCCTCCTGTAATAACACTGGATGAACAAGAGGTGATCCTTACTAGAGCTATACAGTATAAATAAAGTACGTTTAGACAGTTTACTATCTATTCTGAAGTGGCTTAAGTCACTTCCGCAATTCCTTATCATCTTTTTTTTATTTATAACATTCTTGTTTCGTCGGAATAGTACACCTATAAGCATGTTATATTTTTAGCGTAATCTCCTCATCAAGTATTTCAGTCCAGGTGGCCGTTGCTATAGGCAACAGTTACGTCATCAAGTCAAAGGTTGACGGCATTGATCCTTATCAATGAAAGTTGTCTTCGAGTTATTAAAAAACAAATTAAAATATCGTTACCTAATCATTTAAATGTTCACAACATTCCGGCTTTTTAAGGAAATATTTAGATTTTAGAGACACAAAATCGTTCCTCTTTGATTGTAATATTGAATGGTGCCGCAGTATATATACTCAGCCATTTTTGTACAGAAATTATTACGAACAAAAATGAAATCCTTGAGCTCTATGACTATCCAGAATAAATAAAGTTGGTTTATAGTTAGTTTTACTCCTGTTGTAACACACAACAATGACGATTTTTTTTCTATCGTCTAGTGAGTTTTATATGTCTGGAGCAATTATAGAACTTCAGTCATTTACCCATTGAGTGACAGCTCTCTCCCCTTGACGAGTAAAATCGTCTGGCGTTAGACAGAGTAACTAATAGAGGGTTTAAGCTTTGTGTTATACGTCAAACGGCAAACGCCAGGCAAAGAAAAAATTTTCGATATCAGGCAATAAAGAGTGAATAAACTTGCTGTTTTAAAACTGAAATGCATAATTATTCTGTCGACGCAAGAAAGAAAATATGAAAGGAAAACGTTCAACGAATATTTTGCCAAGAAAGTTCGAACCTGCTGTTCGCGGAAACGTGAAGCTTAACCTCCCTAATAAAGTAGGGCACAACGCCGGTGAATGGATGTAAAATAAGTTCCGTTTGGTATTTTCTTTAGCGTGTCTTTGTGTGAAATCTTCATCTCGTGCGAATATAACCAAGAGGAGATACCTGTGTACTGGAGACGAATGTCAGTAAGAACAGTAAGATACTATATTACTGTAATGGCTAATCGTGCAGCATTCTGTCAGGCCGAAGTAAAAAGTATGATCAGCTAGCATCCTCGGCCGACCATAGAAAATGTTCCAACCATATTTTCATGCCTCTTCTTTTGAACTGATTCAAATGTGCCAAATATAAGCATAATATCGCAAGCTTGACGAGCCGTGAACCGTTGCTTCTCTTAGAATTGTTGTAGTTTATTTTCGATGAAATCAAATAGAGATCAGAATGCCAGTGGCTTGGAGAGATATGGGTATGTTCCCTTGCCGTTTTTCTGAAGGTACATAAGAATAAAAAATAAAAACGCCTCCACCCCTACAATAAAATTTTTGTGAGAAAAGGATGCTATAAACCAACTATTTTTTTACTTAAGCGGTACATCTGGGAATTGTTGTCATTCCCAACCGTTATCCTCGCCAAACATTTTTCAACATCGGGTTGTGTTAATTCTGCTTTGAAACTTGTGCAGTTGTCAGAATATATCAGTGGCTGTTGTGTTGTCAACTATATGTGTTAGTTTTGTACATTTCTGTCTCACACGTAGAAACCCACAAGTTGTAACAAACCTGCAGCAGACTTGTAGCAATGCTGTTCTAACAACTTGTCAACAGGATGTGTTCGCACTGCTTGTTCCCAGCTTGTCGACAAGTTACCATGCAACGGCTTGTTGACAACTTGCTACAAGGTTGTTGAGCTCAATAGACTTGTTACAAGTTGTTCCAACAACTTGTTATCGTCCTGCAATTCAACAATTTGTCAACAAGTTCTGAGTGACAACCTTGTAGCAACTTGATAAACGGACAAAGTAGTAACAATTTTGTCTTCATAAACACATAGACAAACACACAATATACAAATGCGGATGAAAATAACGATTATTAACAATTGTTACATGATATACTACGCGAATTTTATGCAAATATATTGAGCATAATGTAGCAATTTACCGCAACCATGCTGCATAAATGCTTAATGAATAATGGCTGAAAGATTTTGTGTGAACCCTTTTGAAATGAAGTCCTTTTGTCTCTTTTCACCGTGTACAAAGAGAAATGTCCCGCCGTGATTTTTTTATGTACCCACAAGGAAAGTGTATCAATTATTTAAATGTTTTTGTCTGTCAACAATAGCGAAGCATTCAGTATTGAACTGAGATTTTAAAACTTCGTTAAATAAACGTGACGATTCGTGGGAGATTCGTGTAATTTTGTAAACATAAAAATAATGCATTATTAAAAATGAATTTAATTTTAGTTCATGCTGAGAGAAAATTGTGTACTGCATGCATACTTATTTTTACTTTACTTTACTTTCAATACTTGCTTTACCTTGTCTTGCTTTGCTTTGCTTTGCCTTGCTTTGCTTCGTTTTGCTTTGCTTTGCCTAATTGCTTTGCCTTGCCTAATTGCTTTGCCTTGCTCATAGTTAATATAATGCCTTGCTCTGCTTTGCTTTGCTTTGCTTTGCTTTGCTTTCCTTTGCTTTGTTTTGCTCTGCTTTAGTTTACCTTGCTTCGCCTTGCTTTAACTTGTCTTGCTTTTAAGTTTTATGCTTTACTCTTTATATTACTTTATATTTTGTACTTTGTACTTTATACTTTGTTTTACTTGAGTATGCATGGTATGCCGCTTGAATAAACAATTTGAAATATTGAATTTTTCATAACTTATATTCTTTAAATAGCTTTCCTGTCCCAATACACTCAGTATTCTCAATCCATCAGTAAACATTGCAATAGTATCAAACTATTCACCAAATGATTCGAGCTAAAGCTTCTAATCAACTCCTCCGACAACAATAATTCAAATTACATCTGTATATGTCTGCGGGCTGTTCTACAAACTTGTTGTATGTCTGATGATGACTAAATCGGTGAATGCCTTTGTCGTCTCAGCATTTGATTAATATTGTCATTGACACATAAACGTTATCATGATGAAATATATTGATGGTTCACTAATTTGCTTGCATGTATTTAACAAGTTCGTTAATTTGATTTATCGCAGTGCTTGGCGACATTTTGGATCAGAAAATTGCACGCAATGATATTGCAGACGCGTGCCAATGATTCGATTAAGTGCCTTGGCACGCGTTTCCTAAGCCTTCTTTAATTATTTTCAATATTGGTTTCACCGACGCCAAGGGTATTATATTTCGATAGGAGATAGCCTACAGAGATTCGAAACATATTATTCCAATTCGAGAACGAACTAATTAGAACAACCTAGAACACCCAGAACGGATTTCGTTTCCTCCTTAAAGATCGAAAATGCACAAAAAATGTTAAATTGGGTGAAGTTTTGGATTATTTGCAAAAACCGCAGACCATGACGTATTTAAACGCATAATTTCACAAAGTAAATAGCCGCAAAATGAAAGATTAACGAATAACAAAATGTCCAATGCGAATGGACAAAAACGTTCCAAATTTGATTCTCGAACACTTCTGAATTTTCCATTCTCTAATTGTTTTATTCGACTAGAATACCATGATACAATAAGTTACTGGAATGGTTATTGCTGTAGGCTAACTTGTACTAAATTGAAAAAGCACTGAACATAATTTCACAAACGGAAATATTTATCTAAATATATCGACGATTTTTGAATTGACATTAGGTGAAATTAGAACAAATATCAGAGTCCACTATACCAGCAAAAGAATGCCGAATGGCTTCTTTAGAAAGTGAAGTGAACTCGGTCTGTCCCGGATTTCGCTTGGGTATATAATGTGTATAAACCAATTAATCCTAACGTATTCAAACAAGCATTAATTGCCCAAGGGCAAGGCAAAATTCCGACGGACAGAAAAATCTACTTATTTTAGGCCACATAAAATAAATTCCTTGATTCTCATCACCGCCCGACTGTATTTTGAGAGCCTCGTGAAAGTGTTTTATATTTCGTTATATAATATAAATGTGCCACCCAACAAAATATTTCAAGACAGTTAGGTTTTTTATATTTTATATTGGGTTTTTAATAGTGCCATTTTAAACTGCCAATTTCAAACAAACAGAACCTTGAAAGAAATTTCATTGCATTTAACCCATTGAGCCCCAGTGCGCCCTACTTATTTTTTTACTTGTCTAACGCCAGACGATTTTACTCGTCAATGGGGAAGCTCTGCAGCTTAATGGGTTAAATGAAAGGAACTTCGCATTCAGTTCAAGGCGACAGAAATGTTTATTTCGGTTTGTGACACTTTACTTCGGAAATCACAGAAATATTAAATGTTAGTTGATGTTTGCAAATTTGCAACGTTCTTGAATAATAGCCACACGACAAAGCAAATATCGTATAACAAAGGGTTTTTTTAATATAAAAATCTTTCTATATATAGCCTGTGTACAAATGTGAGTATCATAAAATATTTACAAGATTTTCGCTTTGGTTTCTTAAAAAATGTACAATTTAAGTATCGCAACTTTAAGCCGCTTTGGGGAGATGATATATTGATTGATGGCTATCAACACAGTGACTATTTAGTTCGCGTGGTGTGAGTCGACATCAATCAACAGTTACTTACTATCACGTATATAACTTCCTACCATTTTAATACCGTTGTAATATTATATATGTACAGTATTCTCATAGATCTCTCAATAAAATATATATGTCTATATTGCCCTGCATTGCAAGATTTATAAAGTTTGTCCATCAAGTCAGGAATTCATTTAATTTACAATGTGATTTTAGTATGCATTCGGGAAACGCCACTACGGTTCAGGAAGCCATTTATAAGCGCTACAACTAGGGATGTTTGTTTCAAAGCTTGATTCCAGCCGCCATTAATTGCGACAATTCGGCGATTTCGAAGCTGTGTTCGTTGTTCGTATTATTGCGAATAGCCGCGGAGATATACGTCCAATTCAGCGTCGTTAATTCCATAATCAAAATCCTGAAACAACGGAAAACAAACAAGTATTAAAATCTCGTTTGATCCGAGCAGAGATGCATAGTCGTATTAGAGCGCTTTAATCGTTTTACCAAAATTAGCGACAATTGTAAAGTCGTTAAAAGCAGCTGTAACGTATTAGAATCTTATCAAAGATACTCGAAGGCATGGTGTAGTATTGTAAAATCTGAGCTCTAACGTAACTATTAATTAAAATCAAGTTGTTAGTTAGTTTGATACAAATTAGGTTAATAGCCTCGTTTTTAATATACTTGAGTCTTTACTAACTTTATGAACATTTGGCAATAAACCCAAACATAATCATTGAAGGCAGGGAACATTTAGCATTCGTATTCTTAAAGCGCGTATGTAATTCAATAGTCAAGCTTACTCGAATAGTCGGAGATAAAGTTTAGGAATATCACAGCTATAGTAATTAAAACTGCCTGTCAAGTGAATTTATATGAAAGAAATTTATTGTACAAATTTAAAGTTGAAATTGTTTTGGTTCTTGTTTGGAAATTAGAATGTTAGAGTAGCAATTAGTTCCCAGGAGTGCTGTAGGTTATAATGATGTTGTGTTGACTGGTAGCCTACTATGGTATGTTTTATCTGAACGATGACCAAACGTGATCTCACCTCATTTGAACTCGTCTCATAGCTAGCATATTGCGAGTTAGCATCGGGAGATAAGCATTCCTCGAAGCTGGGACTAGACGGTTGATTTTCCGTACAGTCGTACAACATTGATCTGCCATAGTCATAGAACATTGAATTTATACTCGAGTACGTTTGCTGGCTACCATACTCCATACAAGCACCCTGCTCCAAGAACATGGGACCAGTCAGGGCTGTCATAGTAAATCCTGTAGTGTCCGCACTTTGCAGACATTCGCTGAGGTCTGCAATGTAGCCAATGGCTTGCCGTAGAACTTCAATTTTTGACAGTTTCTGTGGATTCTGTCGATCAAAGCACGGTACCCTTTTGCGCAGGCTTTCGAGCGCGCTGTTCAGAACGTGTCTTCGTTTTCGTTCCCGCGCGCTAGCTTTCAAACGTCTCGTTTTGTCGAGGACCACCCATTTTCTGTAGCGCGGTTTAGTTTCGAGCTCTTTTGGGTCGTCGTCAACGCCAGTTGTGTCTTGAAAGTCGTCAGCACATGGTGAAGACAGCGTCGTGTGGTATTCACTCATTGTATCGCTTTCCATAACTTGTGTTGTTGCGAAGGCTGGAACGTGTGTTCTTGCGAGATGCAACACGCTGGATGAAGGTCGACACAAATGAGGTGATGTCTTTGTTCCGGCGCTGTTATAAAGAATGACCTAAGTACACGCGCCTGCTCGCTGGCCTATGAAATGCGCTCGCGAACAATAGAGCGCTGTCACTCAATCACAAAGGCATTAGGCCGCCCCATTCACTTCGTAATCACAGGCTAAATTGCCAGCACGTGCCATAGTAAAGTCAATGACATTTGCGTGAATGGGGCTTAATTGACTCGTACCTTAGCATGCTCAAAGAGCATGCTTTCTTAACAAAGAGCCTACGGCTTGGATCTATAGTATTATACGCCAGTATATATATACCCGGTAGGCGGCGTGCATTATGCTCGCATACAAAGCATGCATGCATCGTTATTCAAGGCTTGCCTCGATGATTTTACGAGTATATTGGTTCGAGTGCAGCTTTAGTTATGGATTCAGTAGGCGTTACTCGCTTTTTACGCACAAAAGTTTAATGTATCATATTTATTTGAATGCATGTTTGTTTTTAATAGTCAACTGCAGATAAAATACTCTCAGATAAATTTAATATGAAAAGCCGTATTCTCGTATTTTTATATGACAATATGAAATATCTCGTCTTTTTTATATGCAATAATTAACAAGCACAGTTTTTTTATACAAGTTGAAGGTCGGGAAAATATCGTTTTAGATTTGCATACATATTTCATGTTTGTCTCCAATTGGTTCGCATGGAACATGTGTGTAACTTTACCATATTACTTTGTGGTCAGCATTACACCTGCCGCCGATTTCTAACTATTTCAGTTTTCAAAGCATTTCCCATGCGAGTTCATTCACCTAACATGATCTAGCCATGCTTCACTCAACAGTGAGTTCTGTACAACATCAGATCACTTTAAGGTAGCCCACATTCAAGAAATGTACTACCTCTGCATGATCTAACCATGCTTAACTCAGCAACGAGTTCTGTACAACATCAGATCACTTTAAGGTAGCCCACATTCAAGAACATGTACTACCTCTGCATGATCTAACAAAAAACAATGCTTAACTCGGCAATGAGTTCTGTACAACATCAGATCACTTCAAGGTAGCCCACATTCAAGAACATGTACTACCTCTGCATGATCTAATGCTTAACTCAGCAGTGAGTTTTGTACAACATCAGATCACTTCAAGGTAGCTCACATTGAAGAACATGTACTACCTCTGCATGATCTAACAATGCTTAACTCAGCAGTGAGTTCTGTACATCATCAGATCACTTCAAGGTAGCTCACATTCAAAGAACATGTACTACCTCTGCTGCTCTGCATGATCTAACAATGCTTACAGTAAGTTCTGTACAACATCAGATCACTTCCAAGGTAGCCCACATTCAAGAACATGTACAGTAACCTTCTTTGCATGGTCTGTTAAATCCAGCTGGAAGTTGTGAGTTAATTAAAGGCTCCTTGCAAAACACGTGTTGTACTGTTCCTTGATTTGTGGGCGAGCCCCGGCTATGTAAATATGAGTGGGTTGTGTTGTCAACACATACTGATCACCCACTCGCGTGCAACGACAACGTTTATATGTTATATTTAAATCGAGCTATCATTTTTGGCTACGTTTTATACTATACGGGATAGCTTTGCGTAGCGGCGCGCAAAAGAACCTATATCCGATATGGAATGTACAACTTTCAGAAGCTGAGCGAAACAACATCTCTTCGTTGCAAGGCGTCGGTTGAAATATATTCGGCTTAAAATATTCGGCTTAAAATACCAGTAATTTTTGCGTAGGAAGTTATATAAATCGCCAATAATATAATCGCAGTATGGCTTTTTTGAACGTGTTGCTAATTTAAGTGAAAAGTGAAACTACTTGATCTTTAGGAAGTTTGATGTAAGGTGTAAAAATTTTTGCAGGTGTCCGGCGGAGACGGAATTAATAATTCATAACTTCCTTGTAAAACTGCGCGCCTCTTAAAAATCCCAACTAACTTTATTTCAATCAGGTAGTTCTGTCAATCAATTCTAAACTGTTTTGCGTAAGTAAGGGTCGATCATCCCTTGCTGACTCAACGGGAACATGAGTTGAGAAGCGAGAGTTTACATCAGAGTTTTCTCAACTCTCATGCCCCGATCGAACAAGAACAAGAGTTGCATGAAAGTTGAGAAGCGAGAGTTTGCATGAGAGTGTTCTCAACTCTCATGCCCCCGTCAAACAAGAACAAGAGTTGCATAAGAGTCGAGAAGCGAGACTTTGCGCATCAGAGATTTCTCAACTCTCGTGCCCGGTCAAACTAGAACAAGAGTTGATGAGAGTTGACTGGATATTGCCGCTCAAACAATGGACTCCTACGTAGAGGCTTTCGTATGACTTTATTTATACCAGGAAAATCGAAAGTCCAAGACACACCGGATGCGATTCGGCAACGCGGCGCGATTTTTCAGTTTTTGAAAGTTAATAAAACAGTCAATGAAAGGAAATTTTAAAAGATATGTAGACCAAATAACTCAAAATGTTATAGCGCGTTGAAAAACTTAAACCAGGATGAAAGTTATGGGTCAGTGAATATCGAAAAATCGCACCGCGTTGTCGAATCGCGTCCGGTGCGTCTCCGCCTTAAGGCATTCATGTATAACTGGCGAACACGCTGCATGACTAATGTGCGCGGTTATATTGCCCGCGTGTTTAACATTCGTGTTTAACCTACGCGCGGAGAGGTTTAAATCCCTCTAGATTTTATCAAAGTACTAATTACCTCAACAAGTATACGCTTTGATCATACACACAAAACGAAATGCTGATATTTATTTAATTATTTGGTAAGAAACCTCTAGATGGGTCTAATGTGCTAATTGCTATACTCTTTGCCTTGTGTTTCTTCAACGGCCTCGTAAAATCTATCGCGATAAAAACACTCGACTGCTTTTGTTTGTTAAATATCATGTAGTATTCTCCTAATCTTTCTGCGTGTATGCCGACCTTGTCGCCCGTCTGTCGGTCTGTGACGCACAAGTCAGATACGATCGTATGATGTGTAATCGGCTGTGCGTGCATTCTGAGATTTTCACGGCTGTATAGTATTTACCCAAGTTTATTTATATTTGTTTTGGAAAGGTAGACCCTTGGAAAGTGTCAATATAGCTAATAGTCAATCACTCGAATATCAACAGGTAGTCTTGTATACTTAACTTTACTGGATAGAAATCTAAACTGAACTGACTTTGTTTATATTGAAGCTAGCTTGACTTCCTAGAGTCCAATATAAGGAACACAAATACGTCTTACGTATAGCTAACAAGACCTGTTTATTTACTAAGTTTTATGGCACTGTGATACTTTCAATGATTGTTTGTGAAATGCTCAATACCGACAAAGTTTGGTTGTTTGTGATCATCTTTGCATGTTATTCCGAGATGTTCTTTGTTCGTTAATTGCCTTTGCACGCGTCAACCGGAAACACGTGGTCAGTTAAATCCAGTATATATATACAGTATTATATATAGTTCAATTCATTCACAAATAGCTGCAATATTCAACTACCAAGCTTGAGACTTTGTGCTCCGATTAAGCTTTGCGCGCTTAGAGTTTAAGATTTAAGATCCTTTTTTGAATTGGCTGTATACGGTATAAGGTATACAGCTATTTCAATTAAGGTTGTCCACGAGCAAAGCGGAAAAGTCGAATACGAGCGCGAAAGGCTGCTGTGAACCGCTTTGAAAATTCATTAATTTGTTAGCGATTCCCAGCAGCCTTTCGCGCTCATATTCGACTTTTCCGCTTTTCTCGTGGACAACCTTAATTGAAATAGCTGTATACGGACACTAAAGGGTGCTTTTAGTAAACTCAGTGTGATGCCATTTACGCGATCGATAGGACATTTACATATAAGTGATTGTAAATTAATTTAGAAAGTTTTCGGAGGTTTTATCAATTACGAATTCTAGTATCACAACAAATGATATCACTGTACAGTTTTACTGTCGGTTTATTGAAGCCCAAACTGGTTATCACAGCACACGCACACTAAAATTAGGTATACTTTATTCGTTATTCAAACTTGAACATTTTTAAGTTCAGTTCTTTCCCGGAAGTTGTAAACCTCGTGTAGGAAGTCTTCAAAACACTTGAGCCCATGGACCAATTGAAATACGTCAAAAGATTAGCTGTCTGAAATAACCAAAATGACAAAACGAACATCACGTGGCTCAGCTTATGGTTCCTCTTGGATGAAACATGCTGTAGTAGCAAACCTTTTGAAGTAAAAACTGCTTACTTATATTCGTGAAATCATTAATAATTCATGAGAAAACACAAAAGAAATCATGAGCGTGAAGGAGTTTGTAGATCTGATACAAAATCATGCTGATTTACATAAACTTTAAATTCAATTTTTTCACCAAGTATTCATTTATTTTAAATTGTTGAGGAATGCGAATGTTCTCATTCCAATACACCACGACCGCTCATGTTGTAAATTGTAGCTACATATGTGTCCATACCATCTCAGCCTTGCTTCACTCACCTTTTCTGCAATGTCTACCACCCCACATCGTCTTCTGATCTCTTCATACCATAATGTTTCCAACCAGTTCTCTCTCATCTCTTCTTATTTTATGTCCATACCATCTCAGCCTTTCTTCTTTCACCTTCTCTGCAATGTCTACCACTCCACATCATCTTCTGATCTCTTCATTCCATAATGTCTCTGACCAGCTCTCCTTCATCTCATCTTATTACGTCTCCATACCATCTCAGCCTTTCTTCCCTCACCTTCTCTGCAATGTCTACCACTCCACATCTTCTTCTGATCTCTTCATTCCATAATGTCTCTGACCAGCTCTCCTTCATCTCTTCTTATTACATGTCCATACCATTCAGCCTTGCTTCTCTCCCTTCTCTGCAATGTCTACCACCCCACATCGTCTTCTGATCTCTTCATACCATAATGTTTCCAACCAGTTCTCTCTCATCTCTTCTTATTATATATCCATACCATCTCAGCCTTTCTTCCCTCACCTTCTCTGCAATGTCTACCACTCCACATCTTCTGTTCTCTTCATTCCATAATGTTTCCAACCAGCTCTCCTTCATCTCTTCTTATTACATGTCCATACCATCTCAACCTTGCTTCCCTCACCTTCTCTGCAATGTCTACCACTCCACATCGTCTTCTGATCTCTTCATTCCATAATGTCTCTGACCAGCTCTCCTTCATCTCTTCTTATTACGTGCCCATATCATCTCAACCTTGCTTCCCTCCCCTTCTCTGCAATGTCTACCACTCCACATCGTCTTCTGATCTCTTCATTCCATAATGTCTCTGACCAGCTCTCCTTCATCTCTTCTTATTACGTGCCCATATCATCTCAACCTTGCTTCCCTCCCCTTCTCTGCAATGTCTACCACTCCACATCGTCTTCTGATCTCTTCATTCCATAATGTCTCTGACCAGCTCTCCTTCATCTCTTCTTATTACGTGCCCATATCATCTCAACCTTGCTTCCCTCCCCTTCTCTGCAATGTCTACCACTCCACATCGTCTTCTGATCTCTTCATTCCATAATGTCTCTGACCAGCTCTCCTTCATCTCTTCTTATTACGTGCCCATATCATCTCAACCTTGCTTCCCTCCCCTTCTCTGCAATGTCTACCACTCCACATCGTCTTCTGATCTCTTCATTCCATAATGTCTCTGACCAGCTCTCCTTCATCTCTTCTTATTACGTGCCCATATCATCTCAACCTTGCTTCCCTCCCCTTCTCTGCAATGTCTACCACTCCACATCGTCTTCTGATCTCTTCATTCCATAATGTCTCTGACCAGCTCTCCTTCATCTCTTCTTATTACGTGCCCATATCATCTCAACCTTGCTTCCCTCCCCTTCTCTGCAATGTCTACCACTCCACATCGTCTTCTGATCTCTTCATTCCATAATGTCTCTGACCAGCTCTCCTTCATCTCTTCTTATTACGTGCCCATATCATCTCAACCTTGCTTCCCTCACCTTCTCTGCAATGTCTACCACTCCACATCGTCTGATCTCTTTATTATACCGGGTGTCCCAAAAAGAAACTGGACACTATTTGATTTCATTTAACGTAAAAGCAATAAAAGCTATGGCAATGAAATAAAGAATATTGCATTCAGAGAGGACTATCTTAGATTTTGATATATAACACTTGAATTTACATGCAATATTGAGCGAGAAACAACTCTTTGAATTTGGAATGCGTTTTAGGAATTGGTGAAAACCCGGTAAAAACCGGTTGTTTTATGCTAAAAACAGTAGTTCAACGTTCAAACATCAATAGCACAGTCAATATTGCATGTAAATTCAAGTGCTATATTTTTATAAATCTAAGTTAGTCCTTTCTGAATGCAATGATCTTTGTTTCATTGCGATAGCTTTTATAGCTTTTACGTTACATGAAATCAAACAGTGCCCAGTTTTTTTGGGGGGACACCCGATATAATATTTCTGACCGCCTCTTCTTCATCTCTTCTTATTACGTGTCCATACCATCTCAACCTTGCTTCCCTCACCTTCTCTGCAATGTCTACCACCCCACGTCTTCTGATCTCTTCATTCCATAATGTCTCTGACCAGCTCTCCTTCATCTCTTCTTATTATGTGTCCATACTATCTCAACCTTGCTTCCCTCACCTTCTCTGCAATGTCTATCACCCCACATCTTCTGATCTCTTCATTCCATAATGTCTCTGACCAGCTCTCCTTCATCTCTTCTTATTACGTGTCCATACCATCTCAACCTTGCTTCCCTCACCTTCTCTGCAAAGTCTACCACCTCACATCTTCTGATCTTTTCATTCCATTATGCTTCCGACCAACTTTCCTTTATCTCTTCTTGTTACATGTCCATACCATCTCAACCTTGCTTCCCTCACCTTCTCTGCAATGTCTACCACTCCCAGTGGCGGAAATTCACTTTTTCCGGG